TCTGTCCTCTGGTGGTAAGTTTGCCGATGCTTCCATTTTGTGAGTGGGTGCCACAATCCTTGACCATCACATCAAGTCCCTCTGCAGTTGTCCTTGTTCACCAGCGTGATGGGACCGATGAGGTGAAGCTCTTACTGTAGCATCCCCGGCTGAATGATGATCAGACTCTTCAACTGATGGTCCAAAGTGTTTATTGAAGGAACCTTGTACACTTGAACGCACCGTAAGAGCTATGAAAAAAAGTATAACAATAAATATAATTAACTTCTTCATAACCTTATTGTATAATAAATTCACTCAAAATACATTTAACTTCGGACCGGACATTAGCCGAGCTAATGCTAATTAGCTGTACCGCTAGCTCGCAACATTACCTCAAGAGTATACAAAACCGTAAAAGTCACAGCGATTCGAACTACACATTAAACATGTCATGAGGTCATATGAAAACAAACCTTGTGCCCTCTATCAGCCAGGTGCTCGGTAAACAGAGTTATCTTTTCCTCTTTTTCAGTAAATACCTTGCTGTCACACTTTTAATAMGCAGACGCACACAACAACGGATGCTTTTGATACATAGCGAGGCKCTTTCAAAATAAAAGTCCCGCATTTAGCGTCTAATTTAATTAATTAAATAATAACCTGGCTTCAAAGCATATCAGGAAACTAAATGAAAACAACATGTCCTTAGAAACAATTATAGAATTAATGATCATTTACAACTGGGGAGGGTGGTAAAAAGGAGAGAAGACCCAGCAGGCTGCGTTTTTAAAAGGACCCGAGGAGACTATAAAAGTGGTGTCATGCCCGCTGCTGCAGAGGCTCGGCTCGTTACGCGCTCACAGAGACTGAGGCAGGCAGAGCAGGGAGAGGAGGACGCACACTCACACGCACACACTCACTGTGCGTGAGCTTTACAAACTGCAGATCTGTGTTAGGCAAACGGGAGGCGGGGGTTTCAGGGGTGGCATTTTCCTCTGACTCACTCAGGATTTAACAAAAGCTAATTTTACGCACGAACTAGTGCCAGAAATCGTTTTTCAACTTAAGTGCGCGTTCGCCTCTGTGGTGAATAGGATGCGTGTCTTCTCCTGCCGACCCGGTGCTGTTTGACACATCCCCCCCGAGAGCTGGATCCGTTCACCGGTCTGTTTTCTCAGCGGGGGAAGTTGGGCTCGTCATAAAAAAACTTTTGTCTTCTGGCCGTCTGGCTGTGGATGCCACGGGAATGGGACTGCGCCAACGGGAGAGCGTGTCCGCGCTTTGCAGGAAAAGTTTGCTGTGCACGGTGCTGCTGCTCTGGCTCAGCGCGGCCGTGGACGGGACCTGGAAGACAGGACTTTACAAGACCTACTCAGCAGCCTCCCACACCTCCGTCTACCAGAAAAGGTAAAGAAAGCATCCACTCATTGTTCTGCCAAATATCTACACACTGTTCTGTATGTTTATCCTCACTTATGTCCTGTTGCACACACACTTCTAACTATTGTTCTTTAGTCTATGTTTTTTTTTAGAATATGATCCTTTACAGAAGTTACTCCTCCAAAGGTGAGATAGAAAAAAGGAGCTAACTTCACTGAATCTCCACATCCCACCCACAGTCCCAACATCCCAAATTAATAACAATAAATGAAAATAAATGAAACAAGAAAATAGAAGTTAAAGAAAGAGAGTGAAATTTAAAAAATGGATAAAGAAAAGATGAATAATTCAATATATAAGTGTATCGGGTTTGGCTCAGAGAGCTTCCTAAAGTAAGTAGTAGGCTGTTGTGTTTTTCTTTTTATTTCTATATATTTGTTTTAACAGTGTATGTTTGACCCCAGCAGCCCTTTAATGCATGACTCTGCAGAGTTACTCCCATCTCCATCCATCTAGCAGCTCCTATTGTCTTCCTGACACTCAGTTTCCTTTTTCCTGTGCTGGCAGCACACATTGCTACGCCGTCTCCCATTGTTGTCCCAGCTCACCCACATTTCTCTGTGAGGCTCCCGAGAGCACCTCCACTGTCTCTTAACCCAGCAGCAGCAGCAGCAGCAGCAGCATCTGCTCCTCTGCTGTCAGGGTGCTCTTCAGCGCACCACCTTCAGTCCCCTGTTCTGAGAACCTGTGTGGATCCCAGGGTGCATCTTGAATATGTTGATAACAGAAGTCTTTCTTACACTAAAGTGCACAAAGAAGGTCACTCAATGAAAGGGGGATGAGACAGACTCATAAAAATTGAAGGAGACAATCGTGAGACGAAACACTTAGACAAGAGCATCCCCCAGCTCTGCTTCCCTCCTGCACAGGGCCAGTGTTTAGCTCGGAGACCAGCCAATGCTTAGTGATGAGAGGAGGTTTACCATCGTGCAAATATTTATGCTGTCAGGCCGTTCATGTGTGTGTGTGTGTGTGTGTGTGTGTNTGTGTGTGTGTGTGTGTGTGTGTGTGTGTGTGTGTGTGTGTGTGTGGGCTAAGCCTGGTCCTGGAGCCTGCATGAGACCCCCTACCCCTCTGAGGAGGCCCTTCTCTCCCGGGTGTGTCCAGGTGGCTTTCAGCGCTCCCTGCAGCCTCACTCCACCGACTCACATAACCTCAACCACTCAGCTCCCCCTGTCAATCAAGGCCAGAGGTTTGTGGAACGTGTTTACTAAACACAGGCAGCTGGGACTCGGCTGCATCTGGGCTTGTTTTGGGAAGGGGAGGTGAGTTTACAGTCGGCCCGCTGCTGTTTGTGTGCGGCAGAGGAGGAATGGCAGGGATGGGACAGAGAAGAAGCTGCTGTTGATTGTGAGTCAGCCACCATCTCCAGAGTCAGAGAGGTCAGCGGGTTTGAGGTGACACCAGAGTAGCTGAATGTCTTGGTCCACCTGCTGTGTGGCCCGATCTGTGAAAGCAGCAGTTTATGGTGTGTCAACAAAGCCGGTGGCCGTGGGACTTCAGGCCACAGAGGGCTGTCTCATCGGCATTAACAACTTGACATTCAGAGACAGAGACTTAACTTGTCATTATGGCTCAGGAAATAAATATTCATTTTAGCAAACTGGGGGAAAGGATTCTGTCACAGGAAAATCTTCACTGTGAACGTCCTCCCATAGCAGCCTGTCTTCACACAGTGATTACTCAAATCAAAGGGGATTAACAGCTCCTGAGTAATTTCTGGACTGTAGCTGTCGCTCTGTGGAGGAGCTGATAAAGTGTTCATTCACCCTTGGCTTTCTTAACAACTATATGAGCTCAGTACGCTGAGGGGTTACTGAGGTAGCTGCTTCTTTACTTTTTGTCTCGCCCACTTCTTTATCCTCCCTCAGAAGACTTGTCATGGTCTGACAGGCAGTCTGAGCCCTGTGGCCTCCCTCATTCCTCACCCATCTTAACCATATCCACATTTTCTTGAAGCATGGGAATGAAGACGACAGATTCCAGTGGCTTAAAACTAGTTTTGGATTTGATCGCTTCGATAACTTCACTTTATGTTCAGGTAACTTGTTCATGCAGATTATGAGCAGTTCCCCAGTTGTATAGATACATTTATAATTAGAGATGGGTGATTTCCAGCGAAGCAATTATTCTTACACAGCGGCACCATACACCAGTGAAGAGCTGCAATGATTAATTGATTAGAAACAAAAAAATATCTGCAACTATTTCATTGATTGATTCATTTGAGTCGTTGCAACACTTTAGATATGAACACGATAGAACCATACATTTGATTTTTGACTGAGTGGCAGGACAAAACCAGAATGGATTCAATTAATTATTATCTGAGAGATCAATAAAAATCTCAAACAACAGTTCAATTCAACAAAAATTCTAAAGAAAGTGAAAAAATCCTGGATCTGCCCCTTTGTCCAGATGCATGACAAAATTTAATAGGATCTTCCACCAAGTTTCTTTGGAAAACAAACAAACAAATGGACAGCGGCGGAAACATAACCTCCTTGGCTGAGGTAATAAGACATTATAAAAAACACTCTTTTCTTTGTCAATATTCTGATGTTTTATAAACCAGTTGATTATAAAAATAATAATTAGTTGCCATGTTACTTTTAAAGGAATCAAATGAATGAAAATCCCAAATAAGCTGTGACTATGGCTTCTCAGATATGAATATTTTCTTGTTTCTTGATTACGCTCACCAAGGATGTAAGATTTACGCCCGTGTCTGTTTGTTGGCTTGTTAGTTTTTTTGTCAGCAGGATTACACAAAAACAACTAAATGGATTTCTAAAAAAACTTGGTGGTAGGATGTGGTACGGATCAGAGAAGAACCCATTCAATTTTGGCACAGATCCGGGTCAGGGATCCAGGAATTTTCTTTATCTCTTCATTTAAAATTGTGAGATTGGGTGTTTTTCCACATTTTTCCAGGTTTGCCAGGTGATAATACATGAATCTTGATGAAAAAAAGAGGCACATTAAGGGAACTGATATCTGTGAGTGTGGGAAAATTGCTGCAGATTTGAATTTGTTGGGCCTTGACGGAGGCATGCACTCGACTGAGTGATGTTCTAATTGTGAAAGGATTCTTCAAGGTTTAAGACTGTTGGCAGGATGAAACGAGAAATTTGAAAACGTCAACTTGGGTTATGGGATATTTTTGAAATATTTCTTCTCCCATTTCATAAAATAAATGATGAATTGAGAAATTAATCGTAAGTTTCAGTCCTGCACCAGTGTCTCAGTCACCCTCTGTAAGTGACCAGTTTGCGGAATCTCATTCATGATGAGCAGAGCAGGTGTTTACTGCCTCAGCCACTTAAAGATGCAGGTACCCGTTACACACAGTAATGCACTTAAAGCTCACAGGTGTCCAGGCCTGAAAGCTCAAAACAGACAAAGACAAATGAGAGTTTTTGTCTTGCTCCTGCTCCTGCTCCAGCTGTGAAGAGTCACTTAGCCCTGACCTGCAATGCCTCACCGAGGTGCGTTCATGATCCTCAGTGTCCTCCACTGGAGGAAAACACAGCACAGCGTTGAACCCGCAGCTCGGTATCCCACCAGCACTAATCTTCTCTATTGTCTTATTTCATAATTCTTCAAATGCAAATCCAACATAACTCTTGTCAGACTGATTTTTCATTTTCTGTCACATTTAATTTCACGCTGCTCTCTCATTGGCTCCTCTGGTTCTTTCTGCTCTCCCTAAAAGCTGCAGATTATGACTCCAGGAATGCCGTTTCCCTCTCTCTTCATTAATTTCACAGTGACTCTCTGCTCCCTCCTTTTTCCCGCTTTGTCTTTTGTTGTTGCACCGCATTTATCTTATGCCTCTTCTTTACCCCGTGGGACCAACACTGCTTCATAATTGTCTTTCTTTTCACTTCCCTTTTCCCATGGGAAGCTCCCTTATTTGACCTTTATGATAGAATGACCTCTCCTCTGCTCTCCTCCTCCTCCCCTCTCCTCTGCTCTCCTCCTCCTCCCCTCTCCTCTTCCTCTCCTCTTCCTCTCTTCTGGTCGTTTGCCACATCTCTTTTGTCCTTTGTTCTCCCCAAGTATTTTTCCAACAGACAGTTGAAATCTACAGAAATTCCTCTAGATTCATATCCATTCTGCATTTCAAACTTTTCTCTGACTGTTCGGCCCTCCTCCCACAGAACGTGAATGGATGGGTGGAAGGAAAGGGAGTTACTGAGACTTTTTTTTCACCAGCGTTTTGCCCTCGTCAGCCCTCTTGTGAGTTCACACGGCTTAACTCTCAGCCCCTTCCTCCCCACACAGTCTGCTGCTGAAAGTGCAGCAACTCAGTGGTGTGATCATGAATGACTGCACAGAAAACAGGGCACGATGAGGCCATGCTCAGAAACCAGAATACACCACATAAGCCTTTTGAAAAGTTCACAAGCTCTCTGTCAGCATTTGCGTTCATTTGCTCTTCAGCAAGTTTTTTGTTTCTGTCCAACGTTTTACTGTCTTGGCGTCCGTGGCGTTGAGGAACAGATGGGCCAAAGCTGTGATTTTTCCGTCCCTTTAAAATTGTGGATTTCTGTCTTAACTGTTGGCTGTGGATATGTGTGACTCTCTGAGAGATGGTTGAAGATTTATTTAGTTTGGGTCCGGCAATTCAGTGTGTGCCATGTGTGCTTAGAGACCTGATACTCACAGAGGGCCTGCGTTGGTGCCTTTGCCAATGAAACAGCACGGTGCCGCTGGGTTTCACACTTCATAACACAAGGGCGCCTGCAGAAAGAAGAAGGTGTCGACTAGGAAACATTTGACAGTGAAAGACTGAATGCACCATGCACCTGTGTTGCCTTATTTTCATTTAAATATTCAATAGACCATTGTGTAGCAGTTCTCAGCAACAATATGAGGGAAATCATTGTTTCAGGGCTGTGAAATAAGAGATAGTTAATATTCAGTCTTTTACATCCCAGAGGTGATAATGGTGTGACCTGTGCCCGCAGGTAATACCAGGAATACATCATCATCTCCGTCCTCTTTGCAGTGAAAAAAAGTATTGTTTTTGCTGCCTTGTAATTATTTTGACTCAGCATTAGAAAGTTATGTAGGTAATGCAGGTATTGGTTACAAAGCCATCTGGGAAACGGTAAACTCTGTAATGCCAGCTGCTTTTGTTCTTTTATTCACTGCAGCAGTAGCGGCAGCGGCGGTGGTTGGCATTTCCTCTTTGGTAATTGCATAAGTACAATGCAAAGAGAGAGAGGGAGAACATAAAACTCAATCCCACTTCCCTACTCGTACCCCCTGGTGACAGTCTTAGCTGTTCCCAGGTGAAGCGTCCTCTCAGCCTGGGAACCTCCGATGTTTATCTGCTGGGTCTGGAGGATAAGTGGAGGGGAGGAGTTAGTGTCCAGCTCCACCTGACCACAGATTTCAGTGTTTGAAATCTTACACCAATCAGAGCAAGTCTTTATGGACAAGGGACAGAAACCAGATCCTCTGTTTGTTGCCTCATGGCTGTTAAATAAATATACATTTATATATATATTTATATAGCATGTGTGGCAGATTAATTGCCTGCTCACACAAATATGTGAGTAATTCAAACTGTGCCTGCAGATTGTTAATGGGATATATTGTCTCAGGCTGTTTGCACACCTGAAAGAACCAATGACTGGACCAGGGTTCATGTTATTGTTACATCATGTACACTTGTCAGTTTTGGATTCATGTTTCAATTTTGTGAACTCTTTGCATGACACACTTACGTCCTGTCATCATCATGCCTGTGTGCTGCGTCTCCTTTTACATTGATTGGTTTATAGATGGGCGTCCTCTCTCACTCTTTCAGTTTCAGAATTTTTAAGCTTGCTTTTCAAGTTGGCTTTTTTTAACCAAATTACATGGAAATAGTTCATATTCTCTTCTCCTGATGTAACAGCAGCTAATTATACTTTTCTTGTCATTATTCTTCTCCTTCTATTGTTTAATGGGAACAAGCTTTCCTCAGCTTCAAGTGAAGAGACTGAATTATCCTAAAAAGTGTTTTCACTGTAAACAAACTGAATCATGATTTAGTTTGATCCAAAGCACGATCACCTCTTTTGATCAGACCAAATTTTGGTCCTTCTGTCCCTTACTTGGTACGAGGCATCTTTCATACATGGAATTTGTGGGTCTTACAAAACCAAAGAGTCCCAACCCTCTGGAATGTAAGTCTATGCCAGCATCATCAAAGTACGTGATGTGTCGATATTTTTCTGAATGTGCTGAAATACAATGGCAGGATAAACATTTTACAATATGAAATACAAAGCAAAATCAATAGAATAAAAAAGGAAAAACGTCCATATTGACCCAGGACTCAGGGCAAAGGTGCAGAACAAACAAGGGAGTTTTGAAGCCACTCCTTGAATCAAGTTTTTTTTTTTTATCTGTATCTTATCTGGGACAGTAACCTTTCAAATGCACCAGTAACTGCAGTCAAACAGACATTTCTCAGCGGTTAAGGTCTGTGTGTGTGCGGCCACTGCAACATGTGCAGATTGTTAATGTGAGGTGGTTCTGGGCTGCTCCGCATCCTCCGCCTTTGGCAGTTTCCTTTATTGTAAACTGTCTCACACACACACACACACACACACACACACACACACACACACACACACACACACACACACACATATGGTCTCACATATTGACAAACAGCCCTCCCTCTCTTGCACACACATTGGCAGCAGAACACACAAAGTGCAGTTTTGTGCTACAAGCCACAGCAAGCCTCCTTTGTGGTTTCAACTTAGAGACCCGTTTCCATACATCTTATTGATTGTGTAAATACAGCCTATAGTAATCGTTGTCCTTGTTTTTCCTCCAGCTTTATCCATAGAAAACTAATCAGGGAATATTTGGTTCCTTTTTAAAAGAATAAAATCCCAGTAACAGCAGCTCAAACTGCCTCAGTGTGTTTTCCATGTATTAAAACCGTTCAGAGGGCTGAGATGAAACCTGCCTCTAGTGGTAAACTTTTCCCGTCTCATCCTCTCAGGAGCAGATATGTGCTCCTGTGAGAATGCTCACTGAGTTCTGGGTAAGAATTAAACAAACCAGGTACTTTTAGCCTCATGGTTTCACAAATGTGGAGAAAGGAGGAAAACATTTCCAATTGTTCTTCTAGAGTTTGTGGATGAAGGTGAGAACACATGAGTCGGCCTGCTCCAAGTGTTCATATCCTCACTATCAGATCTCTGACCTTTACATAAGCAGGTCAGGCTCTTAACAGCCTCAGTGAATCCTCATAATGTCTCGCAGGTCCTCTTTGGAAAGCGAGTGGACTCATGACCCAACATTAACCTGCGATAAAAAACTTTAATCCCCCTACGAGACGTCGTCTTCCTCTTTGCTCCCTCCAGCGAGACTTTACCTCCCCTGAGAGTGCAAACGGATGTGTATTGACTGAAGAGACGCTACAATGTAAATACTGCCCACAATGCACTCCTGCAAATCTCTCGGCTGATAAAAAACTGTGTAAACACCATAAAGAAGTTTCAAAACAAAAGGGTGGGGAAACAGGAGAGAAGAAGCAGATCCAACAAGGAGACAACCGAGCACTGACTGTGACTGCATGGATAATTTACTTTTATGAGAGTGCTGTAGTGTGAGTGCACTTGTCTGAAGGTGTTTATAAAATATACACGGTTCTTCCTTGAATTATTTACTTTAAAAATGGGCTTCTTTTCCCTCTGTGTCTAAGAATAACATATTGATGCAACGCTGCTGCTGTTGTTTTATTCTCAACTCTGGATTTCTGACTTTTTCTCCCTTTATTTCTCCCATCAGGAACTGGTGTCCTCATACGGTCACTAAGACAGTGACGTGCCAGGTGCAGAACGGGACAATTCTCCAGCGAGTCTACCAAACATGCCGCTGGCCACAGGGATGTACAGGAGGGAGGTGAGGAGGCCAAGGGAATGTACCACTAATGCTTTGACATAACACTGAGATGTACATACTTTAACAAGGAGAAACAACTTAAAATCACCTAAAGAATTATGTGTATGGGAACAACATTTGGGGTTTTATATTTTGCACCTGTAAAAACTTTAATTGGATTAAGAGCAAAAAACAAAACCAATGTTCTAAAGGCATTTTTCTTGTTCTGTGACTTAAATTGTGTTCTCTTAGCTTCCAGTATCGCCATTTTCAGACATGAACCCTGGAAAATATTCAGACAATGGGGTCTGGACAGATAAAGATCTAGTTCTGACGCGTTCACACCATCAGGAACTCTCCAGAGCGTTCAGGACGTAACTCATAAATTCTGCTGTAGAAAGTTTATTAACATCATCAGCCTGTATTCCCAAAATCTCTCGAATCTCGTTGTCTTTATTTCGACATATTCGTCCGACTGAAGTGACTCCAGTTCATGCCACAATCGAGTCATATTGTTTAGACTGAATTTAAATGCAAGTGAGCCAGAAAAACCACTCACATCTTCCTCCGACAGCTAACTTGAGGGTTTGTGTCTCTTTTTTCAGCTACAGGACCGTTGTCAGACCTTCCTACAAAGTTGTGTACCGCACAGTGACCTCTCTGGAGTGGAAATGCTGTCCAGGATTCAGCGGCGCTGCCTGTGAGGAAGGTAAGTCAGGAGAGAAGGAGTGTTTTCATGGATTTACAGACACATTGGGCTCTCACAGGAGGCCAACATTGTAATCTATGGTTTAGAGAAAGAAGTTACCTCAAATTTTTTTCAGTCTTCTGTCCTCCCTCCATTTCCTGACTTTCCATTACCTCATTTAATCACTCTTTACATCTTTCAGTGTATTCATTTACCACCATCTGCATCGCTCTCTTTTGCATTGCCGTCTTGTAGCCTGTCGCTCTGATACACGTGTACAAGTAATACTTACAAACAGGAGTGATTCCCATTAGGTTTACATAAGGCTGCCTCTGTCTTTAAAATGAAGTTAAGAAACAAGATCCCTCAGCGTCTTCGGGGTGACTCAGCCTCCCTTCACTTTATTAATCAGTTTTAATGTGTTCCTTCTAAGAGTCAGTGTGAGGGTTGATTCTTTTGTGTGGTTGGTTTGGAGTTTTATGGTCCAGCTGCAACCCAGCTCTCATCCATGCCTGTGCCGACTGTTGTTTTCATTTTTTAACTATGGTAGCTGCCCACCACATACACACACATGCATGCACATGCACACACACACATATATTAACTCCCAGTGTGTAATGACTTCCCCTGGCACTGGCCCCCAGGTCTCAGCAGTCTGGGGAGAAGGGTGGAGCGTTGCTGCCGGGACCCAGGACTTGACTGGGTGTAACATAAATCACTGGGCTTTGCAACACAAAGGACAATAAATATTTACAGTGGTTACGAGTGGTCAACTTTTTGTGGTGCTGAAAGCAGAGGCCGTTTTTCTCTTTTATGTCGACCCTCCTAGGTGAGCTAAGAACAACTCTCAGCCGTTCACTGTGGCCTCAACTGTAAAAATGTCTCCTATTCTCCGGCTTGTTTTCACATGCATCAGAACTGCATGAATATGGTGGTTGACTTAGAACTTCCCCTCTTTCAAAGTCAAGAAACTCATTCACAGTCGAGCACAAACCAGACTTTGCTTAACAAAGACAGAGGAACACACAGTCAAACATGGGAGGAAATTATCCAATTAAGTTGTTGCTGGAGGAGATTCCCCTCTGGTTGTCATGGCATTGGGGGGTTGACGGGCCGAGAGGGATGCTGGGATTAGCCACTTATCTGAGCGTCGTTCCGGGTGGCTCAGATCACAGGCGGCGCTGAGTGGAAGTGACAGGTCCCATTCACGGGGGCCTTTACTCTCCGGCACCATGGATGCTATCCAGGGCCACCGGCGCTTTGTTCTGCGCCTGCCGCGAGAGCAGAACCTCTTGCCAGCGCAAAACCTGATATCCCGCTGCTGTCTGCCTCATTCGTCGCTTTAAGGAGAAATAAAAGCTTGCCACACTGGCAAAGTTAGAGAGGATTGTGCATAAATCTGTGGCTGTAGTGTTGCAAAGTGAAGTTAAAGCTGCGTTCACGGTTCAGCGGGTGCAAGTTTTAAATCCAGGGTCTTAATACCTGTGTGTGGCTCCATCTGCAAATCTCCACACATTTCTTAGCAGATTTTCAGACGGCTTTAAGCACTTGTTTGACCTTGAGTATGGCTTTATTACAAAGGCACGGTAAATGAAGCATCTCTGTTATATAAAAGCAGCTCTCATCCTCCTGCACTGTTTGGAATCTACTGTCTAGGTCTGACATTAATAAAATATTGCTTTTAATCTCATAAATCTTATAATAGCTAGAGCCAGATCCATATGTCCTTTAAGACTTCCAGTGTTCCTCATATACCTTTGCTCTCAGCGTTTCCTTTTTCCTCTGCTCATCTGTGTTTTACCTCAGACTGCGGAAAATGTGTATGATCCATTCATTTACTTATGCTGCTCCACTTTAACTTCCACCGTTCTCTCACCAGGCCACCTCAAAAGCCCCTGGCCATGTCTGACTCCCAAGGCCAGTCTGCTTTACAGCAGATCTCAATAACATCCATTTCTAGCAGGACTCTGGGGCTGAGGCTGCTTTAAGGTGCAAGAGAGGGAAAGGAAGTGCGTTATAAACCGAGAGCATGTTTATTGGTGCGGTTACATTTTAAATGGAGATGAGAGAGTTGTTTTCTCTTGTGTCCCTCCATCCTCACCCCTCCGCCTGTCAGCCGACAGGTCAACGTCTGTAAATCAACAGGTCCAGTCTAAACCTAAGATAACGTGTCTCTGTTTAATTTTTGGAATCGTGCGTTTCCAGACACAAAGCAGCAGATATAAATGAGAGAACTTTATGGGAAGAGATCAGGCCGTTCTGTCATCCAGTCACTCTCAATTTTTTGGCCTCTCGTGTTCAAACTGAAAACTTCAAAAGCAAAACATGACATCACACCCAGGCTGATAAACAAACGTTCTCCATCAGAGCCCAAGTGGAGTAAGATAACACTGCATCAGACAGGCACCTTTCACATTCGCTCTCTTTTTGGCTGGAATTCCAGGCCAATGGTGTAATTACTGAGTCCTAATTGTTTTCTATGAGGGTTTGGGAGATATTGTCTTACTTCTGGACCTGGAACACAATGGGCTTTATCTCTGATTGAGCCTGAGAAAAAAAAGGGCTAAGTATTTGCAGATGTAGGCACTTTCATTGGCTGCCAGGAACAAGGATTTAATGTATGCTTGGTTAGCTTTGGCATTCTCAAGTAAGTAAATGCTTGTTTTCAGGCAGGATATCCCAACTTACATTACATCAAACACAAATATCAAAATTATACCTCAATTGGAGATAATTCTTTGACATGAGAATATCGAATGTAACATTTAAATATAAGATTATTACATTAGATCTGTCCTATACAGGCTGCATCAGCATTTACATATAGTACAGCAGTGAAATGTTATTGCACACTCAGCAGTCTTGGAAATCTATAACATTCATTTGCATTTTGAAACCTCGCCCTCTATCTGCCAATTTTGATGGCGTCTTAAATGTGCGAAGATGTCTACTGTCAACACTAGTTGACAGTAGACATCACGGCCCTGATTTGGTTTACGGGGTAAGGCACTTAAAAGAAATACGGTTGAGGCTTATCACAGGAGGGGGGCCAACGCGCAGCAAAACATTTGGGGGGAACATAGACTTGAATTAGCACGGCTGTCAAAACTCTGCCGCGGGGGTCCCCATCAAGCCATATCTCGCAGCCAAGCGGAGGCTGCGGTTTTTGGGCTGCAATTACGGTATGGCTGGGAGGCAGAGGCGCGCTGTCTGTAATAAGCCGCAGAAATGTAATCTGTGTTTTCACAGCTCAGCGCAGCTTATCACAGGCCTACACGCTAAACCCCACGCTTTAAACATCAGTCGGCTGCAGCTTGCCATTAGCAAAGGAAGAGTGGGAGTGCGCGGACGTCGGTGCATGTGTCTGTCTGACAGCCAGAATGAACTTGTGGGTGGGAGAGAGAGGTGTTGGGGATTTGTACAGTGAGGGATGCAGCTGTTCACTGTGATTAGCTGCTTTAATGGCGGCACAGCTTCAGCTGTGAGTGGAGAGACTCCAGCCTGGGGTCAGACAGGATGGGGCTGAACTGGAGCAGGTGACCTCCACTCCCACTCCTCTTAGACAGAGCAGCACTATCACGGTCACCTTTACATTCAGCCCACTTCTTTTCTTTTAGCAGCATTTCTGGATTCCCCTGTGTTTGCATTAGCAGATGTTAAATATGCAAGTCTCTCATGCTCCCGCTCATTCACAAAAAATGGATTTGATGTAGAAGCATTCACACTCCCAATGCATTTATGCATTCACGAGACGAGAGCTGCAAAGCCACAGAAAACGCATGCATACATGCAGGGAGGCGAGCTGCAGCCAGCGTGCAGAAAAAGCCACAGCAGCTGATATTCATGCACAAATGCTGAGCCCAAATTGGAAGCAGATGAAGTTAAGGCGAACTGGGCAGAGGGCCCCAGATGAGATTAGACATGGGAGCGTCCAGGACTTTTCAGCCCACGCTGCTCCTCTCAGGGGAACTGTCATAATAGTCATTAATTAACAAACAACACCACTGAAAATACCGACTGTAGCCAACCTAAAATTAACTAAACTAAACAATCGAGGAAAGTTTTCTTCTTCTTTTTCTTCTCCTGTCTGCCTCTCCTTCAAACTGTCTCCTCTTATGTAAGCATGTGCTGGTATGTGCATCAGGATTATGAAAAATCCCAAAATTATACTTCATAGAAGGCTTCAGGTATTTAAATTGGAATATATACTAATAATTATGATAATATTATCATGACATTATTTTGAAATGTTCCATGCAAACCACATACAGGGCACATACTGTGCAGCAGAAGCCTTTCAGACTGTGGAATAAAATGATAGGGTCATAAGGATTATAATTATAACTCCCTCACTCTGTATGGTTCACGTTTTTCCAGCACAGCCTTTTTATATGACTGTAAATTTTACTTATCATAAGTTCCTTTGACTTTACTTCTATGCTATTGAGTCTATACATAAGAGCCACATTTGGTTTAATGCTTTATGCTCCAATTCTTGACCAGTACTTTCTGGTGTTTAGTCTGTTAAATCTGAACATCAAGAAACACAGATGCATATTCTTTCGCTGAACCTTTTTCTTTTCTTTTTTTTAAGTTTTATACATGCTTGACCTTGAATCTGAGTTAAGTTTTATGTTTCTGGCTCCTGGACTACAAATGCCTCTTCTGCTTACTGATTTATTTATTATTTCCCAAACCTCCCCCAAGGGAAAGCATTGAAAACAATTTTTCCTGCAGTCTGAGAGAAATGAAGTGTTTCCCGAGTCCACACTGCAACAACAACTTTAACAGCTTGAAATTAGACGTGCAGACACCCAAGCCATGGCAGCTGGAGTGTTCGTCTGTCCCCAATAAAGCTGAGGCCTTTCCCTCCCTTTGACCCAGTGCTGGACTTAGTGGACAGTGCACTGAATGCGTGACCCACAAACAGACAGGCTCTTTACAACCTGACAGATCACGCAATCAGGAGCAGAGGGAAGAAAGACGAGATAAGGCCAAGTGAACTGGTAACAGCGCTTTTA